CCCCAAAACCCCAAAACCCCAAAACCCCAAAACCCCTCAACTAAAGATAATTATTGCTGTTATTAACTCACTAATTGTATACATTATGCCTTCTTTTCTATCTTCAGAAGCATTTCATTCTTCTCAAAGCTTTTAGATAAGAGATCATTCTGTTCCTGAGAAAGAGATCCAGTAAGAACAGTGTATAAGTCTGGGTTGGACTCCTGTAATTTATCCATAATATTCTTGAAATAAATAGGCGCATCAACTTCTTCAAGAGGAGAATCATATAATTCAAGATCAGCAGCTGTGAAAATAAGCTCATCAGCAGGATCATATAGATCATTTTGTTCTTCTTCATCAGCATCAAAATCGAGGAGTTTTCCTTCTTTTTGTTTGATATCATTAATCTTCTCAAGAATTTTTCTAAATTCATCAATTTCCTCGAGGCCGTTTGCTTCAATAGCCTTCATCTGAGAGACTTCTTCAAGCTCTTCATTGATTTCTTTCTCCTTGGCATTGACATAAGCATTGATGAGGACAACTACGATGTTCATAATTGTAGAGATCTCATTTCTGAGTAGCTCTGGAGCTTTAGTAACATCATTTGAGATAATAGATGCAATTCCATACAAAACTCTTCTGATCTCATAAGTCTGCGTAAACGAGCTCATTCTTGAGAAATAAAACTGAAGCATGTGCTCACAGATTCCTTGGTCTTCAAGACATTTATAAGTCAAGTTGGTATTGTATACGAATCACATGGAGAATGCTTGTAAGATGGATGATTTATAACCCTTCGACAACCCTTTGTGCTCCAATTCTGAGTGTAACAATCTAATTAATTCAGGCAGGATTTCGTCAACTTTTCCAAATTGGTTCTCAAGGAGAGTTCCCATTAACTTCAAAGCTCAGACTGATGTGGTGAAAATTTCTGCTCCCATGTTCCTCTCAATCTCAATAATTCTTTTGATAGATTTTGTATATAACTGGACTGGAGTTTCGTCGTCAATTATGTGAGTTAAGAAAGCATCTCCTCCAAAAGAGACACAGTTCTGAAAGAAGGACATCATTATTGGGATGAACTCAAATCCGAAAGCTCCTTCAATAGCCTCATCCTCATCATTCTCATCTCCAATGGCAATCTTGAATTGGTGGAAGAAGATTTTCCACATCTTTTCAGAGACAAACTTTCTATGGTATACGAAGAGAGCAGGCAAATCAAGACATTCGTTAGTAAATTCTACTCCTCTAGGTGTCAAACAGAACAAAATTGTTGGGTATAACAGTTCCTCGACCCTTTCAAGTAGCTCTTTGTCTTTACTAACTGCTGAGATAATTGTTCTGATCGTGCTGAGGCAAGCATTTCCTGTCAAGATTGATTCACACATAGCATCTTGACTTGACTTTGCAATTTTCTTAAATCTGTTATTCACTTCTTCAATTAGTTCATAAGCATAAGGGGCTACTTTGTCTTCAAAAAGATTGATAATTTCTTCAAGAGCATTGACTAGCTCATCCTGGTCAATCTCTTGCATGACTTTGAGATATGCTTCCAAAATTTTCCCAATTCCTGGTTCAAGAATCTCTCTTGCCTCCTTAATATGGCTCAACTTGTGTAAGGATGTACCTGCTAGAACTTTGACTGGGAGGCAATCATCCAGAAGTCATTTGTAAATATTTGAGACTGCTTCAATTGCATGCTGAGGATCCTTCACAAAATTAGGCATTTCTCCATAAAGCCAGAGAGCTCTGGCTTTCAGAAATTCATTCTCGCCTTGAAGGTCAGGGAAGATATAATTCTTCAAAATATCCTCAACTCCTTGGTGCAGGTCCTCATAAGGAGAAACATGAGGAGACAGATATCCAATAGCCAGCATGATGCTCTCCTTGAGCTTGAAATCTTCAATAGGATTACTCAAAGTTTCAGCGAGGTAGTTTAAGAATTTCCCGAGCATTGGAGGCACACCTTCTGCTCCTTCATCTTTATATGTAACAAAATCATTCATCATATCAATTGCGTAGCTTCTAACTGAAGACGACCAATGAGTCAAGCTGTACAAACCTCTTGTATAACTAATCGGGTTTTCAGTAAATTCCTCAATATCATGAGGAGTCAGCATCAAGAGTGGCAAGCAATACTTAAACACGATATCCTCATGCTTTAGCAGTGCTACTGCAAATAGGTCTGGCACTTTCTCTGCTCGGTTAACAATCCTAACTGCTAAAGAAACTACATCATTTGAAACAAATTTGGTCAAAGATAATTCAATAAGAAGGAAGGAAATGTCAAGAATATCTTTAGCATGATGTTCAAAGAAGTTCTTGCTAACATTATTTAACTCTTCCTCTTCTTCATCTATGTTAGACAGCTGGATTAAAATCCTGTTTAGAAGAGTGATGCACCTCTTTTTCAATTTCCAATGCTCGCTTTTTACTAACTTGTCTATCTCATCTGTATTCTCAGTCTTGGTAGTAAATTCTTCTGGAATTTCTTGAGTGAGGGACTTTAAAGCAACACTCATAAGGGAATTGAAATTCTCTTCGTTCTGGTATCTCTTGCAAATCTTAGCATTATTGGCCAAAAAGAGAGTATCCATGATAATATTCTTAGCCTTCATTGCTGATTCTTCCATGTTATCCATCAGAGTAACGAACATGGTTTCTAGGGTCGGGAACAGAGTATCCACAATTTCATCTAAAGGAACTCTATTCTCTCTGAATTCAAATTCAAATCTATGAACAACTTCTTTAAGAGCAGTTAGACCTCCAAACAACTTTCCTTCATCAGTGTCTCCAAGAAGCTCTGTGATTTCTGTCATGACATTTGGCCAGTTCGACGGCATTTCATATCTAGCTACAACATGAACGATCTCTTCAAGAAGGGCAAGGACTGCGAAGGAAGGAGCATGAGCACATGCCTTAATAATATATTCTTTCACAAAATCTTTGTCTTCTTGAGAAATAATGATACTTTTGGTCTCTTCTTCATCCTCTTCTTCAATATCATCATCGTTAAATTCGTTTAGCCGACCTCCATCACTATGCTTCCAGTGGTATTGGACCATATTTTTAAGCTGAATGGCTGCTGCTAAATTGACATCGAAGCCTCCCTCAGGCCTGTATTTTGGATCAGATGCAATTTTCATCATTGCTTCACAAAACCCTGGCTTTTCCTTTGCTAACTCTATAAACTCACTTGCTTGCTTAAGTTTGGTGTTGTCTGAACATCTAAAGAGGATTATTAGATATTTCCCATGCAGAAAGCTCTCTAAAGCATGTAGACATTTTAGAGGACCCACCCTGTATTGGATAATGCTTCTAAATAACTGTCTAATGAGATATTTTCCATTTTTAAAAATTTATCAATTACACGCTAATCTAAAGGGGTTTTGGGGTTTTGGGGTTTTGGGGTTTTGGGG